CACGATAAACTGTGAGAATACTAAACTACCTATGCAATGTTAAAAATAACATCAGATCCCTCTAAAGCTCATAACTATAACTTTGTTTGCACAGACATTTAAAATTGAATTTGCAATATTGAAATAACCCACACAGTCAACATAGCTACATTTGAAGCTTTTGTATAATATCTGATTTAGTGGCCAAAAACCATGATTGCTTGGTTTATGCTCTTTCTTACATAGGTATTTATTTAAAACATATTTAACAACCTCAAAACTTCTGAAAAGTGCCAGCTGATAAAACTCCCAGGGGAATTTTAATTATATATATGATGTATGAAGTATCAACTATGAATTTCCCAAAGTCCTAGAAGTTATGGAGGTGGATGGAGAACTAATCAAGCATAATGCGCTAAACTAATAACCCTCCCTTCTTTTCACTCTTTCTCCCCATACTCCTCCTTCATCTACTCCTCCTCCCATCCTCTTCCTTTTTCTTACATTTACTGTTCAAAGTAGGAATAATGACTCCTTCTTAATGTGCTTGCAAATCTTGTATTTTTGATGTGATGAGTATTGCCACATTAAAGTATAACACATAATACATTCTAAATAGGAAAATAAGCTCAAAGGAGATTTTGCAGAGACTGTAATGAATCTTGTTATTCTTAAAAGTTATCAAATGTCTAATGTTTGCCCTGACATTTTCAAGCAGAGTTCATCACAAATGGGTCCTTCCTTGTGCGTTTTCACGAAAAAGAACATATGCACTGTCCTTCCTCATTTCAATGATAAAAGCTGAATATTCCAAATGCCCATTATTCTTCACTCTGTATATCACCAGCATGAAGCATGGGTTTGTGTTTTGGACTTCCCTGTTTCTAAATCAACCAAAGAAAGATTCAGGACATGATTCCATAAAGGCAACCACTGAGAACAGTGAAGCCCATTATTTCTCCTCCCACTGCAGGCTGAGGTCACCATCCCTGTCATTAGCCATGTCATAACATAATTGTATTACTACTCCTTATGTGGGCAGATACTGAGCAATAACTGAACACATCACATCGTTGTAAAAATGAAAAAGTACCACTTCTTTGTCCTATCTTAGCATAAAACCAGTGAAAACAATCTTTGGAAATGACGCTGCACTAAGAAACTGAAAAGAACTGTTATTACTCTGTAGGTATATATTTAAACTGATGATCTGACATCTTTAACTAGAATAGAAAATAAGACTATATCACTACAGAACTCCAATTGTAAGCTCATTTAATCCAATTTATTTTGGTAGCATTCAGCTCAATTAAGGGATACAATGTTACTTCAAATAGTCTAATTAGATGAAACTCCACTATGGTACTCATCTTTCAATGTCTGAAATACAACCATGCTTTAGGCTGCAAGAGGTGAATACTGCTAACTCCAGCCTCCATGTGTCTGTCCAGTCTATGAGCTACACTGCTATTTCCAATACTGACCTACATACAGCAACATGCCACCCGTTCTGGCTGTTTGTATAAGACATGCCTCACACACTTGCCTTAACCAACATCATTCGCATTGTTCCCACAATGGGCTGTGTGAAAATGGAGGCCACTTTGCATAGTGATATGTTCATAACGCACATTAGTCTTACAATAGAGCAATACTAGATTAAACCGTTTCCAAAAATGCCTCCTCCAGAGTTTATTAACTGAAAAATGGAAGTAGTGTTTTGGCAATCTATAGAGCAGCAGTGCCGGAAAGTGTCAGCAGAGGAAAACAATCACATTTTAGTTTAGAAAGCTTCAGGAAGAGAATATTCATTTTCTCCATTAGAGTCTCTTCTGACACTGAAAACAATGTCACTGGGAAACTGTAGCTACAGTTGTAGGATTCTAAAGCACAGATAGATACTGGTTCCACTGGGATTTAGCACACCAACTTTAAATAGCAAAGTGTTGACAGGTTTAAAATAAAGATAATAAGTAATTTATGATCTTATCACCCTATTAAAAACAAATCACCTGACAAACTGACTGCTATTTGTAATAAACTACATATTCATTACGCCTCCGAAGGAAGCAAGATTTACTTTGCAGTATTGTTCTTTTGGGGATGTCTGATCCAACTTGTTTTAATAAATGTAGGCACAGATTTCTTACTTCGCCTTTTCCAAACTTCTGTCCTTCTTCCATTTCCCTGCAAATCCACTCATGTCATTGCAAAAACAAATGCTAGTTGACTGCATTATGCACAACTACAATTGTAGAGCTGGACAGAAATTTTGTACCAATGCTAATCACGGTGGAGTGAAAAAACTCAAGTGCCTGGGCTTTGTGGGGCCTAGAAAACTATCCAGTACATTTAATATAATCAGGGACCAGTGACAAATATATCTGATGGACTGCTACATAGAGATGGGCCAGAGATGTCCCTGGAGAAACATTTCCATGAAGTCTTCTTCTACTATTAGAAACATATCTTATGACTTTGCATTTTAAAAATCTATTATTCTCTGGATAAGTTAAATAGAAGACCCGCAACTAGTCTATAGAAAGGGTGCCTCATTTGCATTTAAAAAGAACAGTTTGCTTCTTATACACGGGGTGACTTAAAAGGAACTTCAATGAGCTAGTAAAGAAATTCTGAATACTTTCTAAATTAATTTATTCAATTCACAGCACAACTCACTAAAATTATTTAAAGCACTTAATTGGAAAATGATTTAATATATTGAAGTAATTCCTGATTTTTCCAAAGCATTTAACTTTTAAATTAAATCTGACCCTACTTATCACAAGAACGAGGAGTGAAATGTGTATCCAAGTCATTAACTTCTTTTGGGGGCCTAAAGTCACTGATAAACTTAATAAGATTTGTCCAGTTTCATTGCCAAAATAGTTCTGAGCTTTTGGTTCCGGTAACTACAGTGGAATATATCTTTACTCTCCAAGATAGGGCTGCAACTTTATTATTTTTTATTAGCAATAGTGGTAGTGTCATAAGCAAAACAGAACGTAACACGATACTTGGGTGTACAGACAAAACAGATTTTAGACTAAAAGAACTATGTCACCAGCAAATAATGAAACTTCATCACACAAACTCCTCTGCGCTCGCCAAAGTTCCCCGTACCTTTCAACTTGTCCCTAGCTGAAGGGCTCCCTGTACAATGGAAGCCCTTCTGCCTTGCTCAAGACTGGATGTCCCTCTTTTCTAACTTGCCTAAACACCATCGGCACACAGCACAGTCCTTTGAGTGGGTCTCACACTGGACACAGCACCGAGGAGCTTCTCCACGGGGAAGTGTGTGTGTGAGAGCCTGACTGTGTGTCAACACTGTCCATGACTCGGAGCTGGTCGCGTGGTGGGGAGTCCAGGGGCTGAGAAGGCAGAGCACTAAGTATCTCTGCATCAGGTAAAAAAACTGTTTGGTGACGACTCGCCACCAGGCAAATGTTGGCAGTCCCAACGATTTTTCCTGTGTAATACACCGAGGGTCGCCATGGATGTGCCTGCAGGGGCGGTGAGTATCAGGCGGATTTATCACCAAGCGGGAGCTGGGCGTCTAAAAGGCCCGCCCCGCGTTTTAGAGACCTCAATTCTCTCTGCCAACGTACATCCAACGGGACTGCTTAGACACGAACAGCTAGCCCTAGGCGGGGGCAGTCGTGCCCTGCGACCACTTTGGGGGACCGGTCCCTGAGTGTCCTCCCTCTCGGGGATGAGAGAGTTCGAGAAGCCGGGAGAGTAACCCCCTCCCTCGTACCCCCTGACTGTCCTATAGGTGGACCCAGCCGAACTCCGCAGCAGCCCGGGCCAGCGCCCCACCTCCGGGTCACCGGCAGGATCCGCCTCTCCCCGGGCCCCCGCGGCCCTGGCACCCGAGGTCAGCGGGCCGTGGGTACAACTCAGCAGCGGACCCTGCTCCAGCCCCATGCCGAGTGCGGGAGCTTTGGACTTGAACGCGACGTGCTCGCCCGGCTCCAAACAAACTTGCAATTTCCGCGCGCACCCCTAAAACAGGAGCTGTTCTCCAAACCGTGACCCAGCTACCCCGCTGTGCTGTGGCCCGCGGACCTGTGTCCGAACCCGGGTTCGGCTGCTGGAACCGGTTTGGGAAAACAAAAGAGTCGTGGGGCAGTTTTCCCTATGGGGGGCAGGGGCGCCTCCCGGGTCCCTGCACCCCGACTCCCGGTTGCTCCCTGGCAACTACTCCGGAGAAGGGAAGTGGTGCCACGAGCTCCCACTGCCCGGGAGAGGGAGGGAGAGAGAAGGGGCAACTGGGAAATAAACTGAATTCTCTTACTCTGCCTCCGTTCCTGGACCCCAGACACACCCCCAAAGTATTCCACGGTTTTCTCTTATTATTTTTTTAAACGCCCCCCGGCAAACCTAGGCAGGGATCCTTAGTCGCGAACAGCAGGAAGAAAAGAATCCGAGCAAATCGTGTCACTTTCCGCACAATCGCGGTGTTTGGCAAGCCCCCGGAGCTACTCCACAATATTTACTACCCAAGAGCACGCAGGCTGCAGCGGGCTGCGAGCCGAGCGCGCCCGGGACCGGCCTCCGCCAAGCCGGCCCCGCCGCGGCCCGGCCACCGCCGCCCCCCTCCCGGGATCAAGCAGCAAGAACACGGTGGAAACAAAAGCAGAGCGTTCACCTTGTTGCAATAGTAGGGGTCCAGGCAGGGAGAAGGTCCCAGACAGGGAGCGTCGGGCGCAGCGGCGGGCTGGGCTGGAGGTGGATAAAATCTTACGTCCATTTCACTCTCACATCAAGCAACTCCTTTTCTTTTTCCTTTTTTTTTAAAAAAGTGTTCAGCAAAACAAGCTTAGACGGAACAGAGTGAGGTGTCTGGGCTCAGGAGTAAAAGAAACACCTTCCTTCCCTCACATCCGTTTGTGGTTTGTTTAAGAAGAAGAGGAGAAAAAAAAAAAAAAAAAGAGGGGGGAAAAGCGCTCAACTCTCCCCCAAGCCGCGGCGCGCACCCGTCGGCGCCGAGCGCGCAGCCTGCTCCACCGCCGCCTCTCGGTCCCGCCGCCGCCGCTGCAGCCGCCGCCGCCGGGCAGGTAACTTCATGCGCTCATTGTCCCCCCGCCCGCCCCCCCATCTCCGCCTCCCGCGCCCCTCGCAGCCCGGCACACGCGCTCGGGCTCTAGGTACTGGGCGTTTTATTGGAGACTGAGTTGCTCTGCGTGTAGTTTATTTTCTCCACCTTGGAGGCCCGGGATGTGGGGGTTGGGGGGGAAATTCAGAGGGGACAGGGCGGGAGGGGGACGAGCGTCCCGGGCCGGGCGGGGTAGGGAGCGCGGCCGGACGCTGGCTGCTCACGGCCCAATGGCTGCTTTTCGGAGCCGAAGGCCGGGGACTGGAGAAAGGAGGAGCGGAGAAGGAGAAGGAGGAGAGCACGGCCCGGCTGGGACAGAAGCGGTGGGACCCTGGGAGGCCTCCGCTGTGCCCGTGCCGCGCTCCTCGGGGCCAGCGCGTCGCACACAAAGGGGCTGGCGAGCCAGAGCTACCGGCGGCCTCGGGGTACCGTGGGGAGCGCGCAGCGAGGGGGCGCTGTGGCGCACCCCGCCCCGCAGCCCCGGAGCCCCGCCCCCGGCCCGCCCCGGCCCCACCCCACTCCCACCGCCCCCTCCGCGGCCGTCCCCACTCCAATCTCCGCGACCCCTACACTGCCCCTCGGCTATTCCCCACCCCTATCACTGTGCTTGGCCCGTAGTGGAGGTGACTTTCCTGCGCAGCGCCGCTCCTGAGGGCCGAGAACCCACAGGGAGTGCGACCCCTCTGCACGCTGTGAGTGGGCAATGTTCGAGGGACTCGAGCCGATCGAAGGTTGAGGAGCCGCTCGCCTGGGAGTGGGGAGTGGACGGCCTGGAAGAGCCGCCCCTCTTTGGTTTCTCTCTCCCGCCTGCAGTCCGCACCCCTCCGAGATTCGTGCCCCACTGGACGGTTTGCGAAGGCTGAGGCTGCCTTGGGGACTCACAAAAGGCCACAGGGGTGATTCGATGTGTAAATAGGGAAACAATCATCAGCACACAATCCGGCTAAAGGGATAACATATGAGTTTGCTTGTTGCCCCTCATGGGATTCTTCTCTTTTTATAGCAGGACGCCCTGTAGTGCTCTTGGCGGTCCACGAAAAAGTTGGAATCCGCCTCCTCATTTCTCCGGTCGGTGAGTGGCAGAAGGAAATCGCCAATCATGTTTTCCCGCTTTGCCTCCCCAACTCGGAAACTTGCAACTTGCAGTGTCCTGGAGGTTGGGGCAGTTTGGGGTCTCTTGGCTGCTGTCCAACAGATTTATCTCTAAGGGCAGTGTCCTGGATGGGAGGTCCAAGTAGGAATGGGCGACATTTACCTCCCTCTCCGGGAGCAGCCCTGCACACTAGGGCCCAAAATTCTGCAAGAGAGCTTGGAAGTTCTTCATCCATTCCACTTGTTTTTCTACTCCACACACCCTTCTAGAACATGTCGATTACCAACTGCTCTTCGAAACTTTTCCATAAGTGTCTCTTCCCGTGTATTTCAGAGCACCAGGCAAATACAAGCAGAGAGACCCGGAAAAAAAAAATTATGAAGACAGCATTAATGATAAAATTAACGTGGCTGAGTGGATTGTCAATGCAAGTGCCTTTACTAACTCTTTGTTAAGTTTTGCTTTGTACTCCTTACATCCTCTTTCTCTTAAGCCATTGTTTTAATTTCTTCTCGTTATCATTTTTAAAAGTAGCAAATACAGCTTTCTTCCTACCTTCACGATTGACATGGTGGAGGTTGGGTTGCAAAGAGGAAGCAGTAAGAAAAAATAATTCTTCTATACATTCACAAGTCTTTCAAGGCACAAAATAAAAGTAAGAAATAGAAAATGTGTCCTTTCTCCTAATAAAGGTCTTTATAATGAAATTTAAATGAAGTTTTGTGTTTCATAACATCAGCTTTCCGAATACTATTGTAGATATTAAAATGTGCCTATATGTATTTCCTTCCACAATAATAATAATAATAGTAATAATAAACTTTTTAGATTCAAGTTAAACATTTCTCAGCTTAAATTTCTATCCTCAATCCAACATTTATTATATCAAAACTTGATTTTTAAAAATAAAAGTTTCTTGGAATTCATCATTTATGTCTGTTTCATGGCCTTGTGAACATCAGGAAGATGAAATGAAATGGTTCAAGACTGGAATGCCATTATCTGCATCTTGACACCTGGGAGATAATGATGTCTCCTGCTTTACTCTACAGACCTACCACTTTTCTCTGCTTTAAAGGAAAATCCAAACGCAGGAGACCTGTGCATTCCTCTACATAATCAAGAGTCTGGTTTCTTCCATAGGAGTGTATGGAGTCAAAGTGGTATTCTGTACATGGCATGGTGTGATAGGTGGGAATATGAGCTACTGGGGGGAAAAGTTCCTTCTTCTAGCCACTTATACAAAGAGAGGCCATCTCAGTGTAATCTGAAAAAATGCTCACTTTATAATGCTGTATCCAAGGCCCATCATAAACTAAATGGATGTATTTCTACTAAAAGTTGGGGAAAGTTGAATAGCTAAACCTCTGAATAAATCTTCTTAATTTAGAAAATAAAATAGTAGAGCGTCATTGTAATACTTTTCAGTTCCTGGACATTCAACTCCACGTCATGGATAAATAAAATAGTTATTTGTCCATTCATTCATTCATTCATTTGTACATTAACAGACAGAGTGGTGAAAAACACTAATGCTATGTGTTATTTACAGGTTTAAAATACAAAAACAAATTATTTAAAATGATTCTTGCTCTAGATGTAGTCTTTCAGAGCAGTATTTTCCAACCTCGTCTGGTCAGTGAAGTCATCTTAGCAGTTTCGAAAAATATTCATGGCCAGGCGCGGTGGCTCAAGCCTGTAATCCCAGCACTTTGGGAGGCCGAGGCGGGCGGATCACGAGGTCAGGAGATCGAGACCATCCTGGCTAACATGGTGAAACCCCGTCTCTACTAAAAATACAAAAAACTAGCCGGGCGTGGTGGCGGGCGCCTGTAGTCCCAGCTACTCGGAGGCTGAGGCAGGAGAATGGCGTGAACCTGGGAGGCGGAGCTTGCAGTGAGCCGAGATCGCGCCACTGCACTCCAGTCTGGGTGACACAGCGCGAGACTCCGTCTCAAAAAAAAAAAAAAAAAAAAAGAAAAATACTCATGCCAGAGCCCCACCCACATAGATTCGGATTCAGTTCTTTTGGGTAGGGCCTGAGCATAGGAATTTTTAAAAGCTCTCCAGTGGCTTTAATTTTCAGAAAAGATTGAGAATCACTGGCCTAAAAGGAAAGATAAGGCAGTCTAGAAGGAAAGAGTCTAAGGACAAAGGAAATGTTAAAAGCATGAAATTATAGTAGATAGGCTGGGTTGTCACTTTGTCTTGGTCCCCATAAGAGAACATTGAAGATCACCACTCCCAGAACCCCATCACCTACACTGCATTTTAGAGATGGAGTTGGCAATTTGCCCATTTACTCTTGGTAAACTTGCATGACTTGTAAAGGTCCAGGTTATAGTTTATTCATCTGACCTAGGAACTTTATGTACTCTATTTACCAGAAAATGAGTGCCTGTAAACAAAACGTCTCTTTACTAGTGCTGATGTAATACTATCAGTACCTACTTGTGAAATGTCTACTATGTCATGGACCTGTTCCTAATTTCTTTGCATTGAATTTCGCTGTCTTATTTAATTTTCCAGATTACTTTGGAAAGCCTCATCAGTAATTACAGACCACACGGAGCATTTGATTTTGTTGCCTCAACATTGCCCATCTTCATTTTAATTATAGTTTCACTAATTGCTATGTTTTCAAATTTATACTTGTTTTCAGTGACCACATTTTATGTCTACTGATTCTTTGTATTATGTAGGTTAAGTTCTAAATCTTGTAGTAACGTCTCCAAATCACATATAGAGTGCGTTACTTTGGAGAAAATAGCTTTTAGACAGTTAATCTTATCTGTGATTTACAAGAGTCTTATAAAAATTATTCAACAAACCATAGTACTTCCTGGCAGGTATTCTTTGCTAGATTTTGGAGTTAGTTTTTCTTCAGGGGTTGAAGCCCTCTATAGATGCACATGAGAATGAAATATTATATAGAGGGGTTGATTTTGAAATGCCAGATATTAAAACTAAAATCAAAGCCTGCCAAATTGTATAACTAAATTAATATTTAGCCCTTCACTGGCCTTTCTGACTTAACGGGCTAGTTTTCCAGTGACAGCTGATGTCACAATATTTCTAGGGAAAAGGAAGCCTCATTCTTTTAAAATACGATTCATTTTATACCTCATATGGCCCACCTAGGATTTTAAGGCCTCATTAGACATGTGTATACCCAATGAGGTTACAGGGTGAAGGAGCTATTTGTTTCCTTAGAATCTAGCCAATCTTGAGTGCTACACATTTTAGATTCAAAAGGATATCATTAATGGTTTTGATGGGAAATGTTTACATGTTCTCAATTTACCAGTTAGTATTTACTGTTGTCCAGGGTTACTTAACATTTTTCTAAAGTAATTTAAATATAAAATGGAATGATATGCAATAAGTAATATCTTTCAATGGAAGAACGCAGAGTACTGAAGTTTATTTCCTGGGGAGACTAGTGAGAAATGACTAGATTGTAACTCTTTCAACCAGAAAATAAAGGATTTCAGAATGATGAGGAAAGTTTGAAGGAAATGATACAGGTCCACAGATAGCTCACATGGTACTAAATGACTCATAAAATGCAGTATTTTTAACATAATTTGGGAAGTGTGCCATGCTTGTACATCTCACCATTGAGTGTGGTACAGTACTTTGATCTTCAACAATATACAACATTTGTGACATAATAGCTATAATAGGACTATTCAGCTATTTTACACGGCAATAATCCAGTCCTCTCTCATCAGGATAAACTGTGAGGACAAATCCTTTCAAAATCAGAATTAGTTCCTTGTAGAAAAGTGAGGCTACAATTATCCCTTAAATAGGAGCAGCTGCAACATGGTATCGGCCTGGAGCGTGGCAGTGAAGTGTTTTTCCAATGCAATTAAATGGATTTTTTAATGCAAACTAATATTCTATAAAAAGTCAATTGGTAGGGGAGTAGGTGTGGAATTGCTGAGATGAAAGAAACAATCATTTTGCTTACCTGAGTTAATATTCCTGCCTTTAGTAAATGATATTTTGGTGAGAATGGATAATCAAGGCTCATATTTTCCTGTGAAGTGGGGCCCAAAAGAGAACCAGAATAATACAAAGGAAAGATAATTCTGGTTTATTTCTACACTCTATGTCTTATTTTGAAATGGAGTCACAGCCATATTTTGATATTGTTTTTCAAAAAGGTATAATGAGTGAACAGTAACATTTCAATTTAAACAGCAAAGGTAATACTGGGGTGGAAAAATATAAAGAGAGCTCACAGGACCTATATTAGTCAGTGCCCACATCCAGAATGAGACAAAGAGGAATGGGAACTTAAATTTCTTACCGCAGAGATGATTAAAGGATCAGAAAATAAGACCTTTAAGAAAGATTAAAGGACCTGTCTAGGGAGAACAATACTGAGAGGCAATGTAAGTCTTCAAGTCATATATATCCAGAGCTGTTTCACAAGCAACAGGGAAAGAAAACCTCCACTGAAGATACAACATGAGGAATTGGATTGTAATACTAGAACATGGAGAACTCAGCCCACACGAAAATAATTTTTCCTAGCGTAAGCTTAAATGTATTGCCAAAGGAGAGGTGTCGGCTGTCAGTAGGACTGATTTAAAAATCTCTGCAACCAAAGTTTGTGAAGTCACCTGTGCATCCACTGACACCCTTCTTGAGTATGCTTTCCTTACATAAGATCGAGTAGGCTGAGAGTTTGAACTTAGCCCCGATTATCTAAAAGACATGTACTCATAAATTTTCGATAACGTATAGAGAAGTTTAGCCAGATGTGAGCTAAATAATATCTTACGGTTCTTTGAAGTCAACAAATGCTTCTCTTTATATTATGACTTGTTGATGAAAATTTTCAACGACTTTCGTTACACACAAAAATAACACATCTGATTTTGCAGGCAAAATGTAAGATATGACAAAACTAAAAAGCAAAATAACTAATACATTTTTAGAGTGTTACATTTGTAAAAGGATAGTCTCACATGATAGGGATGGTGTTTTGGATGACCTCAGAGCCAAAGATAAAACAAAAGGAGTCCTCCTGCCTTACTGTCATATATTTTAATGCATATCATTCACTAAGTCAAAATTCACACATTTTTAAGACAACAAGAAATACGCAAGACTCCCAATCAGACTGATGGCTGTTGCTGAATTCTGGATTCTCCCATGAAATCTTCCAGGGTTGAGCAGGTAAATGTGACTCTGCACCCTCCCCTTACCCGATCTCCCCCAGGAATAGGTACTATTTCCTTCCACTAAAAATCCACTTATGCTTGACGTTTATATAATGTGATTAGCTATCTACTCATGTATTGTTTTAATGTTTCCATTTTATACCTAATGGCTTTTGAATATGTCTGTCTCTATTAATATGTTTGATACTGATTATAGGCTCCTAGAAGGAAGGGGCAGAATCTCTTTGAACCCGACTTTGAATCTCTTCAATAGGATATATGACCCCCATGTATCATCAGTTCCTTAAATATTACTCTTTCCAAGAAGACAAATGCTTCTGAATTGTGTTTCTCCCAAATTCAATTCACTTGTTGAAGCTCCAACTCTGACGTGATGGTATCTGGAGATGGGAATTTGAAAATTAGGTATAGATGAGGTTCATGAGGATGAGGCCACCAGGGTGGAATTAGAGCCCTTATAAGAAAAGACACCAGAGAGATTGCCTTCTCTCTCCCTGACATGTGAAAACACAGAAGGTGGCCGTCTACAAGCCAGGAAGAGGGCCCACCCCAGAAACACGTGATGCTGACAACTTGATCTTGGATTTTCAGGCTCCAGGACTGTGGGAAAATAAATTCCTGTGGCTTCCAGCCTCCAGGACT